TCGATGAGGCCATCAACCCCAACATCAGCGAGGGAAGCGACAACCGGCGGGGCAGGCGGGGGGTGCAGAACAGGAAGTGCATGCTCCAAGGCGTGGAGCGCAAGTCGCGCAGTGCGGGCCGCCGTGTCATCGCCCGAGGCCGCCGCCGAATCAAGCTGGCGCTTGAGCCGCGCAGCGCCCCGAATGACCGGGCCGCACGGGCGCTGAATCATGTTGGAACGCACAGCCCCGTTGGCAAGGCAAGTCGTGCAAACGAAGCGCATCCGAAAGGTGTAGGCATCGCGGTAAACAGTGGGCCACGCCAGGGCGAGGATGTCATGCTGGCGCCGGGCCTCGGGCTGCTTGCGCTTGCTGGTGCAGCGGCGCGGAGCATCAGGAGTGCCAGCGGCAAGCCGGGAAAGGAGCGCGCGGGCGCCATCAAGTAGCTCAGCAGAGTGCTGCCCAGCGCCATCGGAGATACACTTTCGCAGCCTCGCGATGAAGGTCACGCGGGAGCTGGAGGGTCCCACCTTGGCACAGGGCTGCTCCTTGAGACGATTGGCAGTGTCGGACGTCTGCATGCACGACAAGCAAACATACACAACACGCGAAGACCTGGCCTGGCGGCCTCGCGTCCCCATGTATGGGATACGGTAGAACTCAACCTTGGAGTGACGGCCATAGCCACCAGTGCGATGCTTAAGCAAACGTTTGGCAGTGGCGGCGGCGATGACCGCACGGGTGGCTCTCGTAACATTGGAGCGCGCGGTCTTGACCAAGAACTTGGATTTGGGCTCCTTCGGATGGTGCAAGCGTCGGTGCTTCAGGCGGGTCATAAGCATCGCTGTGGAGCATTGGCGGGGCTCGGTGCGTATGAGGGCCTTGTCGCAGCAGGGGCACGGCCACTCAACAACATCAGAGGCTTCAGGGACACGAAACTCTGGCAAGGAAGGCTGGCGGGAGATGTGCGCATGCTCGGGGTGCCACAGTCGCACATGCGTCTTTAGCTTGTCAGAGCCATGGGGCGCCGCAGCCACAAAGTCACACCAGTCGCACTTCCACGAGTCCTTGCGGCGGCGCTCGGGTTTCAGGGGCCTACCTCGAGAACCAACCCTAAGCGGGGGAGGCGGGGGAGGAACCTCGGGCAAGTCAGCGATGAGCTCCGGCGCGGCGGGAGCAGGCACCGAATCAGCGCAGTCCACATCAGAGAAGGAAGCGGCAGCAGGCGGCACCGGGGGACGAGGGTCGAGGTCCCCAATTGCACGCCGGGGAAGCACAGGAGCCGACGCACCAGCGGCAAAGGCAGCCTCGAGGGGCATGGCACGGCGGCGCTGGGCCGCAAGCTTGACCGAGGTAGGTGCAGACGAAGCAAGCAGCAAGGCGCACCGACGTGGGTGCCGACGATGCCACCGACGAGGGCCCCCCCACGCGCGGGAAGGAGCCCTGACCTGCCTCCTGGGTGACAGCGGCGATCTCCTCTGGGAGCCTGGCATTGGCCTTAAGATTAAGGAGGTCAAAGTGCCGACCCGTGTGCCAAACAATGATCCTGGGCTGGGTGGGCGCAAAGTTGTAGGCACTAGGCGGCATGTCAGCGCGCTCCGGCAAAACAACAATGGTGCACTTGTGGGTCTTGTAGGCAGCCAAAATCTCAAGGGCACCAGCCCAAGCATCAGGAGCCTGCATACGCGTAAGGTAATCCGAAAAGGACTCCAAGTGCTGCTGTCGGTCATCGCAACCGTCCCACCGCTTTTGGTAAGACCCGGCATACTTGCGCATGTGGGCCACAGTCTCAGCACGCGCCTTATCATGAGAAGGCGCCGAGGGCAGTGCTTTGGAAATGCAATGGAAGAGGCACGAGCCGTCGCCTGGCACAACATGCCGCTCAAGCTCCGCTGGGATCTGCCGATGCCGGACGGAAGTCGCGGCTGCTTTCTTCGACCCTGGTGTGGGCCGGCCTGCCTCACCTGCGGCCTATGTCGCCTCCGAAGTCTGGAGAACCGGTTTGTCAACCGTGCGGAACGTCTCCCTTTGAAACGAAAAGGGGCCAGCACGCAGCGGCTGCCCCCGATCACGAACACCTGGCTTGACCTGGGCAGGAAGAACCCAGTACGAGCGTGCACCATCCTGCTCCTCGACAACGATCTGTTGCGCGTCCGCGCCTGTTCCTGCAGACGCCCTCACCCACCAGGAACAGGCCCCTTTCCTGACCAGCCGTCGCACGACAGCAGGATTCTGGAGCGTAGTCTGCGACACGAGCAATGACCTGATGTAGTCGTCGGTCCAGGGCGGAGGCGTACCTGTGATTGTCCACGTTCGAGTCGGTGCTTCACCTGTCTGCGGAGCAATGCGGGTGCCAAGCTCCCTGGTGCCAAGCAGCAGCCCAAAGGCGGGCCGCTCGGCCAGCAATCGCTCGTGCAGCTGCTTCCAAGACTCCTTGGGGGCAGGCCGATGCCACGCCACAGAAACCACTGGCGTGGCCTCCTGCCTTCCAACCGGCTCAATGAAAACACCGTGAGATCCCGAGGCTTTAAAGACGACCCCAATGCCCGCGGTCTCGACTCGGGCCAGGCCTTGCACTACCTGGTGGCTGGCACGGTCATGCTTGGCGAACTGCCACGCATCTTTAATGCAGCCCTGCTTGTCAAGGGGAAGCGCTAGGCGGCCCCACTCCTGAACAAAGCCTCGCGGGGAGGCCAACGCACGTTGCCAAAGCTGATCCGAAGCAAAGCCCTTGCATGCGACGATCCTAACCACCGTGGTGGCCGCGGCCGGGGCCGGCGCAGGCTTGGGAGCCGACTTCAAAGGATGGAGCAGCCACTCCGCTACAACACACTTCAGTGCGAATGACATGCTGAGTGACAACCCTCGATCCAGAGGCCATCGGAACCACACACGAGCCCTTAATATCTCTAAGGAAAATCCAAGCAGAGTGCTTCCCTTTCCCTCGGATAAGCTGAGCGGCGGCATCGGCCTGCTCCTCATCAGCAGCAAGCAAGATCAAAGGGCCCGCCTCCAAGGTGGCGAGCTTCTCAGAGAGCTCGCCATACTGGACGATCGTGCCATGATAGTCTCCTCCACGCAAGGCGTACTGCACAGCAGGTTGGGCCGGGCGACGGGGAGGAGGAACCGGGGCATCAGGTGCAGTGGCCGGGGCAGGTGGAGCCACCGGCTGGGCTTGCGCTTTGGCCTTAGGCTTGGCTTTCGGCTGGGCTTTTGGCTGGGCTCGGGTCCTGGGTGGCTTGTCTGGAGGCTTCTCAGAAAGCAACGGGCCCAATGCAGCAAGCAGGGGCTGGAGCCCGGAGGAACCCTTGCCCATAAGCAACTTCAGAATTCCTTCAAGCAACGTGAGCAACTGTGTTTGGCGAGCCTGGGCACGCTTGCGCCTAGTCACAGCCGAGGCACCAGGCCCCGGATGGGAGGCTTCACCAATCCTCTGGCCCAACAATCCAACGGAGCGGTTAAGGCGGAGGCACGGAAAGGAGTGCACAGCACTGCCTGTCATAGGAATCCCGATACCTAGAAGGCAACCCTGCTTAAACCCTAACCCATGTGTGCAGCATGAGCATCGGGCTCCAATGCAATGATGCAGGGGGAGGTCTGGCCTCCCGCAGCGCAGACTAAGCATGCCAAGTCCTCGGCCGGCCTCTGCCAAGGCGAGCCGTAGGTCACCTGCACCTGGAATGTTCGAAGCCTCTTCGAGAGAAGGCCCCGCCACCACGGAGGCGCGC